CCCCAAAACCCCAAAACCCCAAAACCCCAAAACCCCAAATTTATTTCTTTTGGTGGAAAAATGAATAAATTTCTAAATTTTTAAAAATGGAAAATTGTATAAGGATTAATTTAATCAAATCGATTGAAGTTCCAAAGACTATAAGACCTTGAAACCTAGCAAGAAAGGCATGTATACCAGGACTTATAAGAAAGATAAGCCCTGTTAAAGAAGTCAAGGCGGGTTGTAATCTGTCCTCAATCACTGACAGTTCCTCACCTAATAAATATAACCGAAGACAAACCTTCCTTAGTTTAATAGAAGAAGATTGAGAAAGAGATGAGAAAAGTAATCATGGGTCTGAATCTTCGAGCTGAGATTCAGTTAGTCCTAACAGTAATTCAAAAAGTGAAATTGAACTCCTGAAGAAATCGAATGTTCAACTATTGGCTCCAAATAAATCTTGAACTCAGGCGGATCTCAGTGGATCTCAAAACAGCCCTATACAAGCCTCTCCAAATATAATTCTGAATCAGAGATATAACCCTTGTCCCAAAAAGTCTTTGAGAGAAGAGTATAACTATCCAAATTTTGATGCATATTTCTCGTCTACATTCAAACTGAACGAAAACTACACAGGGAAGAATTTGCAAGAAAAGAAATATGTTAAGAAATTTGATCTCATGATGGTGGCTGAAGAGTATTTAATCAACCTAGGAGACAATCTTTTCCTCCTAAGAAATCATCAAAATGAGCTAAGAACCGCTGAATATAAAGATTTAGACCAAATCATACTGAGAAAAGGTAAGTTAAAATTGATTCTCAAATGCAATAAGTTGGTTTATATTTTTGTCTATTATTTGCACTCATTATTATTACCCAATTTTTGATTCTTTGATTCAGTGTTTTATAACTTTGCTAATAGGTATTAGTCTAAAGACCAAAAAGAGGTCTTTCATTAAGAATATTAAGAAAAGAAAAATCAAAAATAAAGAGCCCAAGTACATCAGAGAGCTATCATCTAAGCTTTTCGAGATAGAGAATTCTCTCGATATTAAAGCAAATGAGGCTTCACGCAAACTTACTCAGGATGTGACTTGATCAGTGAATGAAGACTTTAAGAAAAGAGGCAGATTTTGGACTTGTTCAACATCATATGAGTTCCAGGCCACATTGACTGACAATCCCTCGGATAAGGAACTGAGTATTAAACTAGAGAATGAGAAAGTTGGATATGCCAAAAGTTTTAAAAATTATGCATTGAAAAGATATGACGATTTTGACGAAGAGGAAAGAAAGGGCCAGGAAGAGACTTATCTTAATTTAAACCTCAACCCATGCCTTCCAGTAGAATCATACTTTCGGAAGAAATCATCAAATTCTCAGAACCTTCATCAAAATAATCCATTACAGTCAATTGAAGATCTTGATGAATCTGAAATATTTTTAAAAAATCTAGAGTTCAAGAAGAAATGTCACTCAAATTCTGTTATCCCTGATTCAAATCATGATACCACATCATGAAGTGGTATAAAATCCAAAGAACAGAAAAATCAGGCATCTTCAGCTATCTCAGAGAACACTAGAGTGAAATCTCCTAAGAAAAAGAGAAAGAAGGACAGAAAGCTGTCAATCAGCAACACAGAATTCAATGCGTTCTACTCAGCCTTTGAGAAACACAGTAAGACAAAAATGAACAAATCCTTTCTGACTCCTAGCATTCCTTCTACTGTAAACAGTGGGCAGATGAGCTATCCTCAGTCCCCGATTTCTTTAGACAAAACAAGAAAGCCTATTAAGGGACTGAAAAAGCTACGTAAGAAGAAAATCTATTCCCCTCAAAAGGTGCTCAAAAATCTAGAAAGTTGCCACAAAAAGCCCAAGGGAGGAAATAAACCCTGAAATTTCTCTTGGAAAATGAATGAAATAATAGTTTCCTTGGATGAAATAGAGAAGAGGTTTGACTAACCTAATTTTGAACAGATTGTTAATCTCTCATAACTTTAAACCCTAAGCCTCTCTTCCCTCTCTACATAAATTCATTCCTTAAGCTATTGGTAGGTTTTGGGAAAATTTTGGAAAGTATTGTAAAGGCCATGATCTTTTTGGGAATTTTTAAGGGAACAAATTTGGGGTTTTGGAGGTGGGGATATTTTTGGGTGGGGAAGGGGGTTGGGAAAAGAAGGGGGAAGGAGAGGGAGGTTTGGGTGGGAGAATTGGGGTGATTTTGGTAGCCATTTATGTTTCAATATGTTAGTGGAGTAATGGGGTTTTGGGGTTTTGGGGTTTTGGGGTTTTGGGG